GGATGCAGAATTCTCTGGGCTACCGCTGCTTCCTTTCCCCTCTGGGATTGTCACATTGGGAATGAGCCTGGCAACTGGCGAAAACTGGTGCATTAAGTAACAGGGAGAAGTACTGGCAAGGCTGAAACAGGGTGTGAGGGGCAGCGGGCACAGCGCTGCGGGGAGCCCGCAGCTCACAGAAGGCTTTGGCTGCCGGAGCCGCTGGGAGAAGGGAGCCGCAGCAGAGACGCGATAGACAAATATTCAAGAGTGACTTAGAAAGGCTCATGCTCCGTGGGATATATTATGTAATACTTAGCATAAACGTACATTACTTACTACTTCTACAAACATCACGAAGCTTTCTTTGCATAACATAGATACTTAGGCTTTTCTTTTCTTGAGGAGAAAGTAATTAAGCATCATTACTATTTGTATCCATACACTTACTTTTTCTCCATCAATTTTGCATAGATGAGAGTACTTAAAATGACAAAAATCATAGTTCAAACTTGAGTTCCCTTGCAACCCTATTTTTTAAAATTAATAAATATTATTTACTCCTAAAACTTTGCATTACTGACCTTCTGAACATGGAACTAAGCACGTCGGTTTGTCCAAACATTTGTTTGACATATGCAGATTATTTATGATAGTGAAGCACAACTTCAGCAGTGTCTTCAGTATAACTCAGTTGATTTGATGGATGGCAGAATTAAATCCTTGTTTTTCACCCTGATGCTACAGTGCAAGTAAATGAAAAGCAAAGTGAGCAAATACATGGAAAAACAAAAAGAGCAAGAAACACCTGATTAGCAGAACAGCACAAGACCATACACAGACCATGCAGAAAATAAAAGCTCAAATATTCAATTCCTAGTTTGGAGTTTAGTTTACTACACCAATATGGCTTTCCAGGAATAATTACAATTTGTTTTTACAACTTCTCTCCAGATTTTCAGCTACCTCACTTGTAATCTTTTACCATTTCATCATAATGATTAGAAAAATATGAGGTTCATTTATCTGCTTCACAGCTTTAAGAGTTTTATATTTTAATTGTTCAAAGCAATTTTTGCATGGAGGCTGTGATTGTCAGAAATAAAGGATTTGTTTGGGGGGCTAAAGGCACAATACCCCTTTTATAGTTTTAGAACTTTGTTGTTACTGTATTCAGAGGCCCGTGGGCATAGGTGTCTAAATCAGAAATTCTTAACAATACGGTTGTTCAGGACATGCTACATGTTCCATTGCAGGCACCTAGTTACAGTGCAAGGTCTTCACCGAATTGATTGGCAATACCAAGAAACAGCAGCAAGCCTGCACCATAAAGAAGGGCTTTAAACAACACTGGTGGAGGTGGAAGCCAGGCGCTAGCAGGCTGCTGTCGAAAGGTTTTTCTCCTAGTTTGCTGGGTCTTACGTTCATAGAATTTTCAGGGTCGTGGTAGGCCCAGAACTTTTAAAGCCTTGAGTCACAGCTATTTATCACCCAGCAGGGAGCTACATAAAATGTATTTTCCTTCAGAGCGACTGTTCTCATAAGAAAAACTCATTTGAAAAAGAGAAAAAAGGAGACAATTAACAATATTTTTTTAAACCTACAATATATCCTTACTAACAGGATTCTTAAAACTAAATACTATGAACTGCAAAAAATTAATGCCACCTGCAAGCTGTAAATATATGTATTATTTAATTTTTTTTCCCCAAGTATTTTCTTTGGCTGTTATATTCAGCTGAACAAGGCCTAAAAATTGTCAAACTAAATTCTTGTTTAAGAGTGGAGCTCTAACTACTGCCAGTTTGAGTGAAACACACATCCAGGTTTAGGGAATATGTTTTGTTTGTTTTGGCTGCAGCGCAGGGTAGAACATTTTCCATCCCATCCGAATGCAGTCAAAAAGGTTTTGAAATATTGCACAATAAAAGCCATTCATTATATCTGTCTCCTCTCCCTTCCAAAAACAGAAATGGCTGACCAGTTCCAAATCTGTGCAGGGGGCAGGAAGATGGGAGTCAAAGGGTCATTGGAAATAACCCAAGACTAACACCAGGTTTTTCAGGTTTGAGTTAGGGAATATGTTCCATGCCCTCATTCCCAGTGCACACAGGTTTTTCTTCCTCCCCCTCTAAAGCTTGGTTAAAGTAGTTAACTGCTCTGTTATGCACAATTTACAAGACTTAATTACAAAACTAATATATTAACCTTCTTGTCTCCATGTGATAGGCACATTTTTCCAGGGGGACACAAGAAAATTCAGACTTTACCTTACGTCAAGCTAGAACATTTTGATTTGTACTGTTTATCTCCTAATTTTAAAAATGTCCAATTTGAAGGAATGCTCTACTGCATTTAACAGCTTGTTTTAAACAGTTGTTATTTCTATTGCTTACCTTCCTGTTAGCAGCTTGAAAAAAAAAAAAAACAAAAAAAAAAACAAAAAAAACTATTTCTTTCACTGACCACTCCTGTTCCCATGTTTAAACTATACTTGACACGATTTAACTTTTTTTTTTTGTTCAGTTCCTCATACATAATCTAACAGTGCTCTTCTGTTTACTTGTGTGTAGATCAGTTCATCACTAATATTCTTCCAGTTTTACATGAACTGTAAAAGTGCTAAAGGATTCAGAGGCATGAGGAAAAACGCACAGGACTTTTTAGCATGATTATCAAGACTAGATAAACATTAGAGAAGTTGATAATACTCTTTGGTATTCTAGCATCTCTTCTATTGTCTGAATACTCAGCAGCAAGTAGAGAAAAACAACCTGAAGATTAGACACCTGTTTAATTAACATTGGCTATTTTAAAGTATGGCTTATCAGTAATATAGAAAAGGGCACATACTATTCTCACTATTTTTTTCCTGCTTAGAATGACTGTCTTGTTGAGCCTTCAGTGATGGAGATTCCAGTTTCCCAAGGCAATGTATTCCAATGCTCAAGTGTCTCTACTGCTGGCAGTTTTAAAATGCCTATCAGAAACATTTTTCTCTCATTTAAGCATATTATTTCTTGCTCCATTTGGAATGGAAATAGAGAACAGATTATTAACCATGTCCCCCTAACAGCCTTCTACGTAATTCAAGACTTGTCTCAAATCTTATCTCCAGATTAAACCTAATTACTTCAACCTTCTTCTATCTCTGTAGGCTACAACCTCATCCACATTATGCCCTGCAAATTGTTGTCCACCAACCCTTTCGCCTACTAACCCTTTTAAACCAAGTTACGATATGAGGCGATTCCAGCTTTGTTCTTCTTTGCTTGGGCCTCGCTCTTATTTCTGATTTTGCTTAAACTTCACATCTCAAGTGCACTTAACCCATCCACTCTTGAAACCTCTGAGGAAGAATTCTCTTCCTTTGCTGCTGTATTTGGTGCATTATGCCTGCAACCTCAAAAAGAAAAAGAACATTCTGGGCAACTAAGCCTCCTAGTATCATATATGCTAGCTTACTTTCTTTTCTTCCAGAACATTCCTTTTGTTGACCTGAATATTTAATCTGCTACACAGTATTTGAGGCCCAAAAATCTCAGGTTTCACTCACCGATAAATTTAATATAACAGCTAAGCCCTCAGATCTCAGCTGCAGTTGTAGATCTCTATTTTGTTTAAAAGAATGCTATACAATTTTCATATAGAAATTCATACCCAGAATATAATGCGTTAGCATTTTACCTTTCTAGTATAGACTAATGCTTAGAAGAATGGCTCAATTACTGTTAAAATCTAGTTTTAATTATTTTGTTAGAAGTATCAGCTATTATTAGTTTTAAATTCAAGTAGCTTTAAATTTTATCCTTAGCTGGTATATTTTCAAGGAAGCCGGACCCCATGATGTAGTTTTCCAAATTATCCAGGTTGGCCCATAAAACTCATGCCCGAATGCCCTCTGCTGGTGAGCCAACATACTGCTACCACAAGGTTTAACCCGAGTAACTGCTGCCCAATCTGAAGTTTTCACTGTGACACAAAAGCAAAACTCAACATAAAATCAAAACAACTATTTAGGTAACTTCAGGAATGTTTCTAAAGAAGCACAGATGAACAGCATTTAATTAGTGAATTTTCTTTCAAGTTCCTTTAGGATTTCTTGTCCTGGGAAAAACTGATGATATCTGTAAAGAGAAGTAAAACATGCAAAAAAGTGAAAATGTCCTCTTTCTTTTAAGCTTTATAAAAAGCAGCTAAATACAGAAAGTATTTTATTCTACATCAATACTGGTAAAAACAAGGTCACAGCAGAGATCATTTTCAACATAAAGCTCTTTGCTGAAAGCTAGCACGGGTATTTCACTAGGACTGAAGCAGATGATGCCAAATGTTTAAGTTGATCATCTATAGTCATTATTTTGATTACAGTTTTGAAATTGGAGAAGTAAAAATGTAGGACGCCAGGTCACCTACGAAGTATTATGCCCTATATTTAATACATATGCATTGAAAATTGAAACATACATCATACAATAAAGTTATATACAATAAATACTTAGAAGCTTTTTTTCAAATGAGTAAGCATAGTTTAGTAAGCCCGATATAAAATTTAGCCCTTCTTTATATGAACTCTACCCCAGCCAGTGCCCATAAGGTTAAAGTTTTATTTATTGCTAATTTTTTGCTCTGAAAAACAGTACCACAGTATGGAAACACAGAAGGTGAAGATGCAGATTAGAATAAAGAGGTGATAACAAAATTCAGTTCACCATGGGAGAGAGTTTTATCCTCTTGACTATCTGTCAACACTATCTACTAAATAAGTTCTCTAGGCCAAGCTAAGCCTTCCTCACAGTTCTGATTTGCAAGCATTTTAGAGTTGTCAAGACAAAAAAAGGCAGTGTAAAGTTATTAAGAAAATTAATAAGGAAATAGCCTTTATGTAATGGCTTAAGTGTAACAAACATGTAACTTAGGTTAGAAAATATCTATGTTACAATACTGACCAGTTCTTTAAAAAAAAAAAAAAAAAGAAAAAAAAGAAAACAGAGGTAGATGAAGATTTGCTAAGTGTCAGACTAATTTTCAAGAGATATTTCTACTTCATCATAAGGTTTTCGGTTACTTCTATCCTTCTTGTTTCCCAAATCTGCTATGCTTCTTTTCTGGAGTTGAGCCTCATTTCTTGTTTCTTGAGGTGTGAATATTCTCAAGCTTCTCCTCCTCTGCCTTTTGCAAGAACCATCAGCAAGATGCACAGAATTATTGTTTTCCTTTCCTTGTGCTGAAAATTCAGTGAGGTTTTCTTCTCTACCGTGAACATTCTCAGATACTTTAAGAACAGATAGGGTTGCTCTTCTCCTAATTTTGCAGCAGGAAGCTAACAGTTGAGGCTTCATTTGGATCTCATCAGGTGCCTGAATCCACGCAAGTCCTTCAGTTTCTGCATCTTTATGTAATCGCATGCTGCGTCTCACCCTCCTTTTCCCATCACTAGCATTACTCATTCTAAAAGACTCTTCTAAGGAATCATTTTTTAGGTGAGCAGCAGACAGGACTTCTTCCACATTAAAAGAAGAAATTGAAAAATTGTTTCCACTTGCTCCAAAATCTAGGTTTTTAATATAAGAAGTACAGACAGGACTATTTCTTTCTTTTCTTGGTGGTTTACCTCTTGAACAGTCTTTTGGTGAACACTCCATTCTTTGGGCATCCTTATGTACACCAGTGTCCTGAAGTTCCAGGAATTCTAGTCTTGTTAGTGGCTCTGCCTTGTTTAGAAAGTTTCCTTGTAATTTCTTGTTTTCTGTCAAGGAATTGTTTTTTTCTTCTTTTTCTTCTTCTATACATGCAGACTCTTGACCTTGCTCAGGTGTATCAAATATACACTTTGCTTCAGGCACAACTGTATTTGAAAACTGGAGAGAAGAAAAAAAAAAGATTTTTTTTCTAATTGCAGGTGAAAGATAATCGTTTAAAATAGTTGATAACTGGACTGCTACTACTTGTTTTCCTCCGTCCAGTCCTTCTCCTCCCCTCACTGACAGCCCCGTCCCCGCAAAAAAAAAAAAAAAAAAAAAAAAAATCACCACAGAAATCTGTATGTTAGAAGAAACCTGCTCCACAACAGTGGGGCTGTTAGATTATGTTGATCTATTTTGAGGTCGTATATTCCAAGGCCTTTCCTGACAGCCAGCTTCAGAATTTAACTATTACTGTTCTTTCTCCCCCCAGAATATTACTTTGATTAATCTAACAAACTACAATTCAGGCTTATTTTCTAACAATGTATCCTTAAACAAATCAGTTACCTGGTAATCAAAGCTTGAAGCAGACTTTGAATCACCTGCAGCCTCAAACAGTGCGTCTTGGGAGCTGCTGGCTTCCACAGTGTCCAGCTCCTTAGAGCTTGGGCATGTATGAATTATATCAATATTTTTCCCTTTCATTCTTTCAACCACTTTTTTCTGTTGAACATCCTCATAAGTATTGCTAGATTTGAAATCATCTGAAAATCATTTGAATTAGAATAAACTCAAGATTACTTGACTCTACTTGCAAACATACAAAAACATTTTTTAAGTATCATACCAAAAACTTTACAGCATTTTACTCACATAAAAGTAATTTTCAAAAACAATCATTTCAGATAACTAGCATTAACAAAACCTACCTGAAGAGATACTGCACGTTAATCACCTATTCAGGCCCAACATATCAGTTTTTAGGCTCTGATATTTTCTTTTTTTTTAGTCACAATCACAGTCAAATTTAGTCTAGCTGTCAGCTTTACACGGGAGCTCCACAAGAGCTTCTCCATTTTGAACTTATGACATGTTAGATCCTTTGGTCTCTGCTATTACTATTCATCCCTCCATCTTTGTACTCCAGAAGCTATTAAATGTCAAACAAACAAACGAAACAAACACAGGGGCCTCTACCTACACACAGTACATGATAACTATCAATAGTTTTATATTTAGCAGAGTGAAATAAACAAATAAAAGTAACGGAAGTACTAAGACAAAACAGAACTAAGCAACCCATTACCTGGAAAAACTACATTTGTCTTGTGATTGTCTTGCATTTGTTTTGGTGTGTTTGGAGATGAGGCAGAAGAGAAGACTTCTGGAATTTCAGGGATTGGGCTCAGGAGAGGTTTCTTGGAAGCCATTTCTCTCTCCCCATACAAAGATTTTTTTACCTTTTTCTTTCTTCTTCTTTTTCCATAGCTTGTACGTTTTACTCTCTGAAGAAATTGGGAAGATTGAATAGAGTACCATGTAGTTACAATGTTTCTTTGCAATATTTAACACCCTATTAAAGTAATTTTAGAAGATACTTGGATAGAGAAATGAAGAGAGTATTTACAAATTGCAGTGGGCTGCCACTTACTGGTGCCTTCTCAGCATCAGATATAGTTCTGCTCTTTTGTCTTTGAAATTTGCTCTTTCTTGGATTTTTAGCACTGCTAGTATTCTTAGCACTTGTTGCTTTTGAGATGCTAGAATCTGTCTCTTCAGAGATGGTGCCATACTGTTAAGGAACAAATATTTTAGATTGCTTGCATATGTGTGCACACTCACATACATACACACACATACGCCCTTGCTTTATAAAAATATAGAATACAGTCAAAGAGCCACAAGAATCACATTGCAGTTAATCTCAAAGCCAGAAGTTAAGACTTACGATCTCTACATACACAGTATAATACAGGTCTATTTGTAAACAACTGTATTCTAATGAGAAAACAGTAAATATTCATCTTGCTATTTCTTTCAGAGAAGATGGGTTGCTTTTTTTGGTACTCCCTCTTCCCCCTGCCGCAATAGTTCTAGAACACATCACTACACCAAGTTAAAACAAACCAAACACAAACAAACAAAAAACACTTATAGAAATTGCGTTCTGAATCTACGAAATCTACGTTCTGAATACCTGTATCTCAAGGGAAAAAAAAAAAAGAAAGAAAAAAGACGACATAAAAAAATATTTCTATTCTTAATTTTGTGTTACTATAATTTTTTCAGATTTCCATAAGTGAATCTCAATGTCATTCACTTTTATGAATGAAAGGTCATGAATAAGTGTGCTCTAAATTATATGGTAGATATTTGGGAGAGTTCCTGGAAAATTCAATAGAAATAGCAACTTTACATATTAGCCTTCAACCAAAGTGTTTTTGTTTTGTTGTTGTTGTTGCTTTTTTTTTTTCTCCAATTGGAAAACCACTTTGGGTCAAATGTAACTTTTCCTTAAGACTGTTAGTTACACCCATGGAATATATTTCTATACATCTGCCTCTACCCTATCCAAAGATGTTAAGGAATTCTGATAAATACTAAGAGATATAAAAACACTGAATTCTGTTTTAAGAAATGAAATTAAACATAATTAAAGAAACATACCTTCCTTTTAGTACAGGACCGAATTACTCTCTTAGAAGATCTGTCAGTTTCTGATAATAAAACAAAAACAGTGGTCTGTTAAGAAAAAAGCATTCCACCAACATGCAAGCAGCAAGTCAAATTAGACCAGCCATTGCCACAGAAAAATACTGAAAGTTCAAATAACATGTATTTAAACTATACAGTGAACAAACAATGCAGGTACAGCAAAGAACTATATGAGAATGCAAGAATATTTAAATGTTAGCATTAAGATTTAATGCATCCCATACATATACACACACAGATAGATGCATAGATAGATATATATATTTAAGATCTGTGGCATCTCTCAGTTTTCAGATCCAGAACGATGCATGGCTCAAAGACAAAATTAAGGACAGAATATGATTCAGTGTTACCTTCCTTATTTTCAGCAGATAAAAAGCCTTCGGGAGCAACATAATCCTCCATTAACTCCTGAAGAGGCTCAGTGCCCTGTAAGACAAACAATACAAGTTAAAGTTCAGTTTACTACCAATATACTATTATCTGAAATATACTAAAAAAAACACTATAAGATTTTGGAGCAGCCAAATTATGTGTTTTGTCTTAAAGGATGGTGCAACTTCTTTCCTGCAAGTGGACATAAGCTAAGGGAAGAACTTCAATATACTAGCAGTTTTAAACCCAGCTTTACAAGCAGAATGCTATTCAAGATTGATACAGCAAAGGCAAAAACAAGAGTTCTTAACATGTCATTTTAAAAGCATCAAGCAGTCTGTATTTAATATTTTGGCAATTTCTTGCCAAACTGTTTTTATACCTTAAGCAAACTTTCATCGCTGCAGTCAAAGTTTGGCTGGGATAATGGTTCTTCAGTCAGACTTGACCCTGTAAATGGACTGTTGCTTTGCGATCCTGGATGACGGACTGGTGTTGCTCCTTTGTGCAATGGAGTGCTCGCAGGCAAAGTTCTGTCAAATATTTCTGGACTTAAATCTTCTCCAAAAGTAACTCTTTTCTTCTTTTGCTTTTCTGAGCCATGTTGTTCAGTTTTCTCTATTTTAAGAGCATATATTGACTGCTTAGTGAACTTAAAATACACCTTTCAATTCACAGGCCTCCTCAGGGGTCTTAGCAAGGCCCAACTAAACATCAAAATACAGCCCTTATCTCCCTTTGTAACCTTATCTTCTGCATCACAGCATAAGATATCATGCAAGAGCTAAGCATGAAGGAGCTATGGGGTCCATATGCACATCGTTCTTCAGACATTGTAAGGAGCAAAGCCCTGTGAATCTATGAAATACAGTGTCTATCCACAGAAAAACAGAATCTGACCTGCTTGAAGTAATTCACAGATGTTGGTGGCACTGCAGACTTCGAGAGATTCACCACTTCTTCTGCCAACAGGATTGTCTAATACCTATCAGATTGAAGTGAAAATTCTATTGACTGTTATACACGTTAAACAACCATCTATTCAATGGTATTTAAATATCAGCGTTGTTTAAATCAAAAGTGAAGTTCTTTTAAGTAACGTTTGATAATCGCTCCAATCATTTAACAAGCCTATTTGTTTTCTGAAAAACATAATACAACAACATACACCAATAACTGCTAATCTTAAAAGCATTCATGTTACAAGAAAACAGCAGACAGAACTTGATGTTATCCTTCTGAAGCATGATTTTATCAACAGTCAATAGCTTTTGCCATGACTCAACTTTGAGCAGTCCAGCAATGACCGAGGAAGCACATCACTAGTATTAGTATCTACGTTCAAGTCTGCCAACCAACCTTCACGCTGCCATCCATTACTTGCTTTACTGGTGTTCTTTTCAATACAGATCGAATACGGGACCCGCTCTGTGTATGTTCCTGCGATAAAATATTTCCTCTCTGCAGCGGTGTGACAGGCACCTTGGTTTCATCATATGTTTGTAAGCTCAGTTCTTCTGCAAAACTAACTTTCTTTCTGGTTAGATCTGATGTAGCATTATTTCTGTCTTCTTTAGTGACATAGTCAGGACTGAAATCTTCAGAACAAGCACACAGGTATGAAAATTAGACTGAAGTAGAATTCAGAAAAATTTAGTTCTAGCAACATAAATTATAAATATACATCTCGGTTGATAGACTGTGTGCATCAACATCCCGCAGTATTTCACTCTAAAATTACAAAATTCATTCTTCTCAAAATTTCTGTTGCTACTGTTCCTCTCCTTCATATTTTGGAAATGTATACAATGTGCAAAGGTAAAAAGGGAGTATTACAAATCTTTATGCACAATCTCTTCACATATTTCACCCGTGTTAGCCATGAAAAAAACTGTACTGCACAACTACACTTTCCCTAATTGTCTAGCTAACAAAATTAAGGGAATCATAAAGCCATTATTTGCAGCCTGTGTTTTGGGGGGCTCGTTTTTTGCATCAGAATTGGAAAAGGGCTTGCATACTGAAGAACTTGCCCCATCTTCACCCCAAACTCTCTAATAAAAACTCTTCTAAAAAAACTACTTTCTATCTCTGAGAACTGTCCTTCACTAAAACACCCATCTAATGCTGTACTGTGCTCAAAGAAGAGCCATGAATTCCATTTTAAACTGGGAGATGAGTTTTCTCCACAGCACCACTTGAACACGTCATAATTTACAGTACCTATTTTGTTCTTGCTATCGCTTACCCAGTCAGCCTTTAGGCCAAAGTTTCATCAAGTTTCTACTACATTACAAATCATGGAGAAGAAGAAAGATACTCTGTTTTTAGTTTAGTTTCTGATAAGAGCATAACAAAAATTACAATAGTGATGAATCCTCTTCCCATAGCTTGTTTCTAAGATATCTTTATTTAGAACAGCCACCAAAAACGCAACAGAATTTTGTTACTAACAAATGTGGTTTCACTTTTCTGCACTAAAGGAAGAATTAATGATCAAGATAAACTTTTCAGAAAAACAAAACAACTTACAATAGTTTGCTTCCTGGAAAGCATCAGTCACCTGTGACGGGCCAATCTCCCCTTCATCCTCTTGCACTGATTTAAAAGACGTTTGAAAAGCACATATTTTGTCCTTGAACGATCCAGCATTTTGATAGTTAAAAGGACTAGTCTGTGAAAACAAAACTAAGCCTCATGAAACTTTTTGACAAGATGAGTATGTATATTTTACCATAACAAGACAAGAAAGCAATCTTGTCTTTAATCTGGCTGCTGTTTCAGTTGCATTGTAAAAATATAGTAAAAAAAAAAAAAAACAGGACTAGGATCAAGAAGTCTATAAGTTTTACTGCCATTTCATAATACATCTCTCTAGATCCTATCTGGAATTTGTTTTCTAACCATTTACATTAGTCAGAATTAAAAACAAGTTTAATTTAAAAATAAGTCATTTATACTAGTATTTACTCTACTTTGAACTATCAACACTTCAATCATACATAAATGAAGTATGACGAATGCAAGGAAGTAAAGTTTACATTAAAAAATACATATACATGAATATGTTGGACATGAAGAAAATACTCCAGACTGTAATCAAACAAAATCTATCACAGCCACTATTTTAAAGTAAGGTGCCTAAGAGAATCCAACAAAAATAAGGCCAAGGTTATTTCTTCTGTTGTCTTTCTTGGACTTATCTTCTCGCCCTGTCAGTATGTATTATATTTGTATATACATTTGAAGAATTACATACTGTTTCCAAGGGAATAACTGACACACTAGATATCTGCAAAAGATTCTCACCTGTGCAGAGAGTTCTTTCTGCCTACTCGCTCTCTGTTGGGCGAGGTACCGAATAAGTGAGTTGTTTTCTGGGGACCCTCGAACGCCGATTGTTGATCTTCGTCTAAACTTGGACAAACTTGGAGACTTCTCTGAAATTGGCACAGGAGGAGGGGGAGGGAAAAATACTATGAAAATGTACATGTTGAAATATCTGTAGCTTTAAATGGTAGGAAAAAAAAAGTTTTTTTTAATTAATTATTTTTTTTAGAGAAGGGTTTACACTGTTTCTGGAAACATCCAGATCGAGCTGTTCAGTTCAGGAAACCTTCCTTCTCTATACTATTTTTTCAACAAAGTCCTTAAAAATAGATTCTAGAATTTTGTTTCACTTTTATAAAAGTAAGAAATTAGATCTTTACTTTTCACTACAGACAGGAAATCAGAACATTCTTTTTCTATCCACATACCAAAATAGCACAGTACAGAAAACAAGTTGACAGTTGAACTAAATTTCAGGTGGGGAGCTCTGCCTTTCCATGTTTCAGATGCTCATCAAGAAGCTGTCAATAACATTTACAGAATGTATCTTATTACTTCATTGAGAAACACACTGGCACCAAATTGGATAGAAAAAAAAAAAAGTTTAAATGGAGAATTAAAGCAACCTTACATCAATGTTATAACCTTAGATATTTTGAACTCCACTGGACACAGCCCTGAACTTTATTTTATCATGACCTTATTTTGAAGCTGATTCCATACTGAGAAGCTGCTGGACCAGATGGCCTCCAGGGCTCCCTCCCAGAAGCACAGCCTTCATTATTCAGCCCAGCCTTACCTACAGATTGTTTAGTAAATGATTCTGGAGTAATCCCAAATTCAGCAATTGTTACAGTTGCAAAATCAACAGGCTTTCTTTTCAGTTGCTCTGATTTTCCACAATCAGATTTTTCTTCTGCTTTATCTCTATTAGGTACCAAGGACCTTTCATTCCCCAAAGACACGGGTCTACTTTTTGAAAAATTGTCCTTATTGCTCAAAGGCAAGATAGATTCACCAAACGTATCTCTATTTAGCGTGTCAAAAAAGCATTCTGTGAGCTGAGAGTTAACAATATCCTTGCAGTTGTGGTACGATTCTTTCTCCAGGTCTTTAGTGTATTTCAGCGTGGGTCTTTGCAATGGCACTTGATTCCTGTCACTAAAATTCTCCTTCTCAGATGCCACTGTGATTTTGGATTCAGTCACTTTGCAAGTCTCCTGGTCTCGATCGGGGAAACAGGCCTCTTCTTTTTCTTCCATACTTCTACTCTTATTTTCTTTAACGCCCAGAATAGCATTTATATGTTTACATTGCCTGGGCATTGTTAACAAAGTACTCTAAGACAGCAGAGATACTTAATCAGTCTCTGTCCTCCTGCAATCACTGCTCCCTGCCAAAAATAAAATGAGATTAAGCAGACACTTGGTATGAGTGATCCTTTGCAAGCTTTGACCAACCCTAGTAATTCCCTGGAGTAATTTTCTAGAGCAAAGGGGGTAGCAGTGCAAATAAAAAAGGGAAAAAGCATTATCTCTAGAAGTCTACACTGAAAGGACACCTAAGGCTGGAGCTAAACAGAGAAATGAACTCTAGGGTAGACCTATAAAAGAGTGTTACACAATAAGAAAACACAGGCTGCGTAAATCTAAATCTTACATTAACATATGTTAAACAATCTCTTTTGTGGTGATTACTTTGCTCTAAGAACCGTTACAACAGGTATCAGCACGTTGAGATTAACTTTGTAAAGTTTAAGCAGTAGGATTTTGCATTCAGTTCTCAAGATTAAAAGCTAAGCATGCAGGGTTCAAGAAAGTCAAACTTTAGTTTCATAAAAATGTTTTCGCTGTATCTTGCCATAGACAAACCAAAGCCATTATATAACACGTGTATAATTTTTCTGTTTGCTTTGTTTTCTTTTCGAAGTGAACACCAGAAGCCGATGCCGGTACCCAGGAGCACGGGCCGCTGCTTCTCAAGCGAGGAGGGGATCCAGCACCCAGCTAAGACGCAGCCCCTGGCCGCGCAGCCCCCAGG